TGAAAGAAAACGAGATGTACGATTATGACTAATGGTTTGATTGATAAGGAATGAAGGACAATAATAAAATTTCTAGTGAACAACCTAAAGGGAATTGTGTTTCAAAGTCCATAGATGCAACTACTATATCCAAAACAACTGAAAGTTTTTGAGATGATGGATAACATTTTTTGAAGAGTTCCAGAAAGACAATGTCATTAAAGTTATGACTCATAATGCAACAAACTACAAAGCTGTCTAGCCAAATGTTGATGGCAATGAGAAAAATGCTATTTTGGACACCTTGTGTTGCACATTGTGTTGACTTAATGTTGGAAGATTATGAGATCTCAATTTATGAAGAGACAATTCCAAAAGGTAAAACAATTACTACCTTTATATCTATTCAAGAAGTTCCCTAATATCTCTATGTCAAAATTTCATGAAAGGAAGAGATTTGGTGAGGCAGGGTGTTATTCTCTTTGCTACATCTTACTTGACATTAGGGTGCCTTCATGAGAATAAGGGAGCTTTAATTATAATATTTACTAGTAATGAATTGAAGTCTAACATGTTTGCTAAAACAATTGATGGTAAAGTAGTTGAAGATGTGGTTTTAGGTAAGGATTTTTGAAAGAATATCATAACTTGTTTGAAAAGTGCATTGCCTCTAATTGAAGAGCTTTGAATTAAAAGCTAGTCACGAGGTTCATTTTTGAAGCATTGGACAAAGCTAAGGAGAAGATACAAAAGGCTTTCAATGCTATCAAGAAAAGGTATTATTCAATTTAACATTCTATATATTTTTTTGTTAAGATAGTGATTTTGAAATTTAAAACAAAAAATCAACCAAAAGTAATATATTTTGGTTAGTCAATTGCCTTGGTGGAACATCATCAATGAAGGATGGGACAAGAGCAACTCTACATGTCTTTGCATGCTGTAGGTTATTTTCTTAACACTCAAATGCACTATCGTCCTAGATTTAAAGCCGATTTGGAAGTGAAACGAGGTCTAATGAAATGTATAACTAGGATGGTAGGGGCTGAGGATGAACAAACTCTTATTGATGTTCAAATTGATGTTTTCAAAAAACAAGTTAAATATTTTGGTTGTCTCTTGGCTACTAGGTCAACCAATTTAAAGACTCCAAAAATTTGTCATTCATTTATTGAGCTTGACACGTAGCTCATCAAGATCTGAGTGTAATTGAAGTTCCTTTGAGATGGTTTGACTAGACCTTATAAAAAATTACTTAACTTTAGGTTGAAAATTTTACTGCCCTCAGGATAGAAGAATCCAGTCATTTGTACCCTTCAGTAGAAAACCAATTTTTTAAACCAAAATCAATTTCCTGCTCTCCTCGAACAAACAATTTTGCAAAAGCTTCTCTAAATACACTAAATCAATCTACTACCACAATAAAGCATAAGCATTAAGCAAGAAGTGCACAGATTCATAATATCCAAAACTAAAATCCCTGTCTATTGATAACTCAAATTCAGAAATACTATAATCATTATATAATCTAATAAATTTGCTAAAAATTATACATACCTGCGAACAGCAAGACCACCGAGGAGCTTGTAGCGAAGAGATTCGGCCTGAGCAATGGCACATAGACCTCTGTTGTTCACCTTTTCCGCATACAGCTCAACACTGTTCTCAGGAAACTTGAACCTCTTCTGCACCACTGAGGTCAGTTCCCTAATTCTCCTTCCCTTCTCACCTACACATCAAAACACAATCAGTAAACTGATATTGATTCAACCAAAGTAACAGAGGTTATAGAATCACACTTACCGAGAACGGCTTGGGTTCTGGTGGCTCTGATGATGATCTCGGTGCGCATAGGCGTAACCCTAACCTCGACACCGGAATAACCATCCTCCGCCAACTCACGTGTCAGGACCTCATTCAGTTCGGCGAAGAACACTCCGTCCGCAACAAACTGTACAGTCACAACGTTTGAATATTCAATTCACACAAAATATCAGAAAGCAGAAAGAAAAAAAAAAAAGAAAAATTGTTGTTGTTTCTGATTCCGTTAACAATTTACCTTTCTCTTCTTACTCATCTGAGTTGCCATGTTTAGAAACAAAGAGAGCGGATCTGATTCTGATCTGAACACAAAGAATGAGAGCCAGAGATTGTGACTACAAACCCTAATGTGTCTGAATAAGCTTGTAGAGTTTTGGATCAGGCCCAGATAAAATGTTTTAAATTATTTAAAATTTTACTTTTTACCTAAATATTATTGTTCTATTTTTTAAATGCAAAAATAATTTAGAAATACACTAATTTTAAACATAATATTTTAATTACATTAAATATCCATTGAATTTTTTTTAATAAATAATTTATTCTCTCTCATATATATATATATATATATATATATATATATATATATATATATATATATATATATATATATATATATATGGGGTTTGGGGGTACGCCTGTTTTTCAGTTGGTACATTTTAGCAATATGTACCGGATTTTAGTAGACAAAAATACCCTTATATATCATGGATTCTAAGTTTTAACGTTAAGGGTATTTTAATAATTTTCATTCTCAAAACTTAAAAAAAAAAGAAACCCCAAACCCTTACTCACCTCTCTCATTCCTCTCAATCCTTTCTCTTTCATCTCTCTCACTCCAACCTTTTCTCTGTCATCCCTACTGTAACCCCAATTGAAACAATCAGAAACACTTGCCTTTAAAAGATTTGCCTTTGTAAAGAGTTGAGTCATTGACATATTCACCTTTAAGGCAAAGGTTCATTCAAGATCTCTTCAATTTCACCATCTTCACTAACCTCTCTAATTTCATCATCTGTATTTGTTGAATCATCATCTCTAAAAAAACCCTCGAGGCCAATTACCAATTCTTTCGGATGTCATTATGCTTGTGAAAATTAGATAAAATTATATACGACAAAAATTATAAAATGAAAACTCATTATATATATATATATATATATATATATATATATATATATTCTTCACATTATTTGTTAATAGAAAGTGCTTGGATTTTTATTAAAAATTTACAAAAATAGGAAGGTATGATAAGATAAAAAAAAGTGGGTTATTTCATTTTGTACTTTCAAACATACATTGCATCTTCAATCTTCAAAATATCATATTTCAAAATCTAATGAAGAAAATAAAAAATTCTTTCTTCAATTTTAAAATTTGATGAAAAGAATCTTTCCTTAAATTTTGAAATATGATAGAGAAAAACTTTTTGTTAAATTTTAAAATCCAATAAAATTTTTGAGAAATTTTTCGTAGAATTTTAAAATTTAATAAAAAATTTCATTTGTTAGATTTCAAAATTCTGATGAAAATAGAAAATGATTTTTTAACTGAAGAGAAGAGTTTTGAAATCTTAAAAAAATTAAAAAATACAAGGTAAAATGATGGAAGATGCCAGATGAAAAAAGAAGTTCCAAAGTTTGACTCAATATGCTTGTCACAATTATGAACCCATTTATCATGCTTGAAAATTTAATGTTTTAAAATTCATTTTATACTTTATTATATGAGGAGGCCAATTAGTGGTTAAATTTTATGGCACAAAATAATTTGAACTGGTAGTTATTAATTTAACACAATGTTATTATGATTTTATATTCATACAATAGACAGTAGAATCTCCAAACATGTGAGTGTTCCTTTGCTTTGGTCATGTAACATTCAATGATAGAAAATTAACCTAACAAAGTCAAACACTGATTTTACATGTAATAATTAAAATGACTCTTACAATATAAGTCCAAGAGGAGGAAGATCAATGTGCCTGACTTTATCAGTCATCAGCATTGATCAAAGAGTAATGGACATTTAACAAGTTTCTCCTTTTTTTTCTGCATCAGAACTTCCTCATTATCACTAATAACCTTATGCTCGAAAATTGACAGTAAAAGAATACAATCGAAACTACACATATATTAGGTAATGGTACAAGAAGAATTCTCATTTTAGAGAGTACTTAGGATTTTAAAAAATACAAAGATTATTTCCAGTCCTTTGAACAACAATCATCTAGGCTAACACCATACAGTTTGTCAGAAGAAAACAAAACTTATTGATATCTTCAATCAGTAAGACTTGTGTTTTCATATATCCAGCTTCATTTTCCGTTGGTCAGAGCCTCAGCAACTACAAGAATTATGCACATGAAATGAAAGAATAATGACTGCGATTTTCAGTTTTTCACCTCCTTTCACCTGCACCTGAACAACACAGGTGTTAAGTAATCAATATATTCAAAACTAAATAACATGGTCTAAAGATCAACATATACACTGAAAGCAGACCAACTAATTTTCATCATTACCCAAGTCCCCAAATCAAATTAAAGTATGACAATTTGGAAATTTACCAATTAAAATACAATATATCACAATGTTATACAGATAGATAAATCATGCAAAAAGAAGTATTCACTAAGTAGTTCCTACCAAACAGTTGCATTACTATCTCACAAGCTCCCAGTCCTCTTTTGACATGTCATAAATTTCAACACAACCATCCTCAAACATGATCTGCAAAAGCAAAAATAAATACATATTCATATTTGATGACAATTTTCATCTAAATTGTCAAAATCCAGACAAAGAAATCCCTTACTGAATGTTTTCGAGAATGTTCATCAAACCGTTTAATGACTCCAAACCTGCAGCATTTTAAGAATGAAAATGATTAAGGATATACATACATAAACTTCAGAAGACAGAGTCACAACTAATAAAGGGACAATTTTGCCATACCTCTCCTTTTCAAAGCTTTTTATTCTAATAACTTCACCAATGCAATTGTGTAAGCATTTTCGGTGGTTAACACGAGAACCTCCTGAAAAACCAAGTGCAACAGGGAGATGGGTATTTTATATATCGTAGATAAATTATAAGAGGAACTGATCACAGATTTTATGCACATTTACTTTCAGAAGAAAAAAATAGTAAATAACAAACGAAATAAAAAAGCAAACCTACCAATTTGCAAGCGTCCATTCTGATAAACCTGTCCAGACGAAAGTACACAGTTAGTCAGCAAAACAGATACTAAATTCAGTAGAAGTGATTATGCTAATTAAGTATTGTGGAATGTGCTCAGCGGTTTAAGTTTTTATTCTCTCCCCCTTAAATGGCTAGCTTTTGTGGTGTAGTTCACCAAGACTCCAATTGATTGGTATTAGTGTCAGTTGTCAGATATCTCAAAAAGGTTACCAACAAAGAAGTTGAGTGAAGTGTCATAGAGTGAATCACTATCTCTCTAAGAGTACAATGATAAAACTTTTGGTTTTCCCTCCTTAACACAGTAGTAAAATATGTAGTGTTTGGTTCCTGCCCTTATCAATTTTCCTTAAGTTCTTATCAGCATCTAAAACAACTTTAAGTTGTTAGTTTGTTAGGGTTTGCTTGGATGAGCTTCTCCATAAGCTCTTTTAGAGAAGAAAAAGATAAATTTAACTTCTTCATAAACAAAAATTACCTTATGCACAAAAAGTAGAACAACTATACAAGAAAATTTCTACAAATTAAGCTCGGGAAGTAGTTTATTTCAAATTTTCTTCCTATTTTCCTCTCATGGAGCTTATGGAAATGAATTTCAATGAACTCAGTTTCTTTTCCCTGATTCTCTATCAATTTCCTCTATTTGTTGTTATAAGATAAATTATGTGTCACCAGAATTAGATTAGCTCAACTAAAACATAAACAAGGTTGCTTTTCTGTCATGGAGATTTTAGACAGCACAAAATCACAAGTGTTTTGACTTTCCCATTACAAATTTGAGATGATTTTCAACTTTATAACCCCATGTTACGTGCAGGCACACAAATACATACATACATATATACATACATACATATATACATACATATATATATATATATATATATATATATATATATATATATATTTGTTTTGGTTTTCCATGGAAGAAGGCTTATCATATGTTTGATCCAATGCAAAGAATTTTTCCTTTAATGTTTCCTTTGTAATAGTGCAACAGTTTCCCAATGGGTAACCAAACACGGCATTATTCATTTGGTTTTGCCAAGTGGGTGGAAAATCTTGAGAATTTTTCTAAAAGTTGCTTTCTGTTTCAAAACATATTAAATAATGTCTGTATTGATTAAGATGATTCTGTGTAGTAGCTTCTTGAAACTTAAAATATGCCTGTTTATAATGATTGGAAGGTTTTATTGAATGATGCAGTTTAAAGAAAGTGTTTCTCAGTTTGGTGTGGCAAACCAGTTTACTGAACTGCACTCTAAGTAAACTAAAAAATAATTCACTGAACTGCACTGCACTATAAGTGAACTAAAAAATAGTTTAGTTCAGTTCGTTTGAATTATTTTTTAGTTCAGTCCAGTTCAGACGAACTATTTTATAGTTAACTATAAATTTTATAGTACAGTGCAGTTCAGTACACTTTGTCCACCCTTACCCATGGTAGAAGGAGGGTATCTTACATTTCCAAGGAGGAGGAAGTTACTTTCTACATTTCTACCTATCCCCAATCAAATTTTCCATCTTTTTTTTTTCAAATTTTAGTTAATTTGAAAAATGCTAAATACCAACCAAATGGAGAATTGACATCAATTAGGGTTTCAAATAATGTGCAATAGCAGCAGAGCAGAGTGGCTAAGATCCACTACAAGGGCTGCTACAGGGGAGCAAATTTCTGTAACAAGGTAAGTGATCAAATAGCAGGCTGAACAGCGATGGTAGCAGTCATAATGGCAGTTCTATGTGTTGGTTCCAAGAAAACCCTCTGAATTGAGATATTATAGCTACTTCTTCATGGGGTTATTTTTGGGATTGCAACTTCCAAAATATAAAATGATAAAGACCTTTTGACTTTGGTTGGCATTTAAATGTTCTGTTCAAGATACCTATAAGAACTTTTATTTGTAATTATCAATATCATAATTTTTTAGAGTTTATATGTAAATAGCTATAATTAAATAAAAAAATTTAGAAGAGTGACCATTCCACTGTCCACTATCCCTCTATAGTGTCAGCTCCACTATGGATGGTTTTATAAACACCAGAATTTAAGCTCAAGTTTTTAGAGATGAGAAAATTGAAAAATCACAGAAAATTATGCAAGAACCAATATGCTGTATACTTTTAGGCATATAAATTGTTGACACGAAGAAGAAAAAGTAAAAGTAATGCAAGTACCAATTACTTAGTGGAGA